TGTATCACAATGGAACTTATCATCTGTTCTATCAGTACAATCCCTATGGGCCATTATGGGGTAACATGACATGGGGTCATTCAATATCATATGATCTTGTCAACTGGATTCATCTTGACTTTGCACTCGTGAGGACAGATCCTTATGAAATCAATGGTTGCTTTTCTGGTTCAACCACATTCCTTAATCCGGGAAAACCGGTCATTCTATACACTGGAGTCGATAAGGAGAAACGTCAGACTCAAAACTTGGCATTGCCTAAGAACCTGTCCGATCCATTTCTACGTGAATGGCAGAAATCTCCTAGGAATCCTTTGATGAGGCCTGTTGATGATATTCTGCCAGAATACTTTAGGGATCCATCAACTGCCTGGAAAGGTCCTGATGGGTGGAAAGGTCCTGATGGGAAATGGAGGGTTATAGTGGGTAATGAAATGAATGCTGGTGGACAGGTACTTCTATATAGAAGCAAAGACTTTTTAAGATGGACTAGGAGCAAGAATCCCCTTCACTCATCCAACAAAACTCCAATGTGGGAGTGCCCTGATTTTTACCCTGTGAGTATCAATGGTATGTATGGAGTTGACACCTCTTCACAGGATAAATTCACCAAATATGTCCTGAAGGCAAGCATGTTCCCTTTGGACCATGATAAATACATCTTAGGAAGCTATTCAGTGAAAAATGATCATTTCTCTCCTGATACTGATTTCAAAGGTGATGCTTCTGATTTACGGTATGATTATGGGAAATTTTATGCTTCTAAGTCATTTTTTGATAGTTCTAAGAAGAGAAGGATATTGTGGGGATGGATAAATGAAGCTGGTACTGAACCAGATGTCATCAAGAAAGGTTGGTCTGGGCTTCAGGTAGTCAGTTCTACCCTATTTCTATGCATACGTGGAAAATACATGTACAATGTGTGTGAAGGCTCTAAGAAGGGTTATTGTTTTGGTTTCCAGTCAGTTCCTAGAAGTATTCTGCTTGGCAAAAATCACAAGCAATTGATTCAGTGGCCCATCAAGGAAGTAGAGAAACTGCGGATGAAGAAAGTGAGCTTCCATGATAAAGAGCTTAAGGGTGGATCTGCAGTAAAAGTTCCTGGCATCACAGCATCGCAGGTATCAACTGTAGTTACTGTACTTTGTGCCTTAAATTGATTAGATGCTAAAGAAATAGCTCCCATTTTGATTTTTGTCATCTCACTTAACAGGCAGATGTGGAAGTTTTATTTAATTTGCCAAGTTTAAAAGAAGCTGAACTGATGGATCCAAGCTGGGTTGTTCCTCAACTTCTCTGTAGCCAAAATGCAGCATCTGTTAGAGGAAAGGTTGGACCATTTGGATTATTGGTCTTAGCTTCCAAGGAATTGCAGGAGAAAACAACAGTCTTTTTTCGCATCTTTAGAAGCATCCATGACAAATGTGTTGTGCTCGTGTAGTGATCAGAGCAGGTAAGTTACAGGTCTCAAGAGTCTTCTTCAATTCCAGTTCTTCTCAGGCTCCGACATTGGAATCTTATGGCATTTTTCTCAGATCTTCTTTGAGGGAAGGACTTGACACAACCACATATGGGGCTTTCATGGATATAGACCCTAGCCATGAGAAGATTTCACTGAGAACATTGGTATGCTACTCCAGTGTTGTAGATAACAATTCATCTCTATGTTTATTTTATCTCGTTATTTAGTACCAAACCCCAATTTTCCATGCATGCAACATATTAACTTGGGAATTTTGGCTTCGCTGCAGATTGATCATTCAATCATAGAGAGCTTTGGTGGGGAAGGAAGAAGTTGCATCACTGCCAGGGTATATCCAAAATTGGCCATTGGTAATGAAGCAGAGCTGTATGCATTCAACAATGGCACTCTGGATGTCACCATCTCAAGCCTCAATGCTTGGAGCATGAAGAAAGCTCGTCTGGCTTCTTTCAATAAAAGAAGGAAGCCACTGATTTAACTGAAGCAAAAATACCCAGATGCATCCAAAACATTATCTTAGCAATATTTGTATAAATCCTGCATTACTAAACTAAATAAAGAACTTTCCTTTCATGGATCAATTTTTTTATGCAAGTAAAGATCTTTTCTGTGGAATTTTATGATCCTTGTGATGCATGAAATCAAATCTTTTACATGCTCTTTATTGCAAAACGCTTTCTGAAGACCATCTATTTCCCTGAGGGGCATCCCCATGTTATTGTTAAGAGCTTGTATGTCTTTCAATGGAGGTCTTGAGTTCGGTTTGAGAAAGGATGGTTATTTAAGCGTTGTGTAGCTGATGATTGCCATTGCTTTTCAATGTCGTGGGGGGCTATCTTTAAAGGCCAACTAGATTGTCGGAAAACAAACAGAATAACAAGAAATCGCAGGACAAGAGTACACTCTCCGACAGTCCATCTACAAAATCGGAGGACGAGTACCCTATGGAGGGGTTAATGCAAGCGCCGCACGTTGCTACTCTGCTGTCTGATGCCGTCGGTAGGAGGCTCACGCGCTTGCTGTTGGCAGCCGTTTTCTCTCCTGCTCACGAGCTTTTGCTCAATTCTTACCTGCACCATGGTTTGTTGAATTCCTCAGCAGCCTTTTTTTTTGTTCATTTGTGATTATGTGTAGCAATTGAATAATTTGATTTTGGAATTCAGGGTTTTTAATTGAGAAGTTCATTGTCGTTTTTCCAATTTACTTCTAAATCTATTAAAATGCTGTTTGATTTAGAAGATAAGGCCATTTGCACCCTTTACAGCTTTGATCTTGGTTCTACCACTAGAGAATTCACATGTTTTCCAGTAAAATTACTTGATGAAAAACAAGGAGCATAAGGCTTGGACTGATCCGGGCTTCTTTTTTCTTTTCTTTTTTTTATCTTGTTGTATCCTTGAAAAGAGCTCCCTGCTTTTGACATTGAATTATTGATCACCTGAAAGACGCAGGATGGAGACGGCCGCTTTTGGATTGCTGTCTTATGTTTTGTGTTGGTTGGTTTTGGCGTTTAAGGCTTTCCTCCTGTACAGCCTTACAGGACTGGCTCCCACTTCCAACCTCCAAAAACTGGATGAATGGCATGTCTTCACCAATTCTTTTTGCCTTTCCAATTTCTTTGCTCTAAATGCTGATTTGTTATTATTATTATTATTATTACATGCAATTCGACTTTCGACATGTAATCCACAAAATGGGTACCAAATGGCAATGCAGATCCAGATGGTAAGCTTGTTAGCTCTTTCACCTTATTTTTTATGTTATTTTTTTATTTTTTATTTTTTTAATGAAATTTTTGTTGTTCTCAGGGCCAATGTATTACAATGGAACTTATCATTTATTTTATCAATACAATCCTTAAGGACCATTATGGGGTAACATGACATGGGGCCATTCAATATCATATGATCTTGTCAATTGGGTTCATCTTGAATATGCACTCACTGAGGAGGATCCTTATGATATCAATGGTTGCTGGTCTGGTTCAGTCAACCCCAGGAAAACCAGTCATTCTATACACCGGAATAGACAAGGAGAATCGTCAGACTCAAAACTTGGCATGGCCTAAGAACCTTTCTGAGCCATTTCTACGTGAACGAGTGAAATCTCCTCAGAATCCTCTGGTGAGTCCTGTTGATGGTATTCTGCCAGACTACTCTAGGGATCCGTTAACTGCATGGAAAGGTCCTGACGGGAATGGAGGGTTTTAGTGGGTAATGAATATAATGGTAATGGACAGTTACTTCTATATACAAGCAAAGACTTTTTAAGATGGACCGGGAGCAAGAATCCTCTTCGCTCAAACAAGAGAACTCTGATGTCGGAGTGTCCTGATTTTTACCCTGTGAGTATCAATGGCAAGCATGGAGTTGACACCTCTTCACACGATAAATTCACTAAATATGTCCTGAAGTCAAGTATCTTCCCTTTGAGCCATGATAAGTACACATATTAGGAAACTACTCAGTGAAAACAGATCATTTCTCTGCTGATACTGATTTCAAAGGTGATGCTTCTGATTTACGGTATGATTATGGGAAATTTTATGCTTCTAAGACGTTTTTTGATAGTTGTAAGAAGCAAAGGATCTTGTGGGGATGTGTAAATGAATCTGATACTGAATCAGATGACATCAAGAAAGCTTGATCTGGCCTTCAGGTAATCAATTCTACTTCATTTTTATACATACATGGAAAATACATGTACAATGTGTTTGAAGGCTCTAACAAGGGTTATTGTTTTGGTTTCCAGTTAGTTCCTAGAAGTATTCTGCTTAGCAAAAATCACAGGCGATTGATTCAGTGGCCAATTGAGGAATTATAGAAACTGCGGAAGAAGAAAGTGAGGTTCCACAATAAGGAGCTTAAGGGTGCTCTGGACTGAATGTTCCTGGCATTACAGCTTCACAGGTATTAACTGTACTTAATGCCTCAAAATGATTAGATGACAAGGAAGCAGCTCTCATTTTTATTTTATCTTATTTACCAGGCAGATGTCAAAGTTTCATTTGATTTGTCGATTTTAAAGGAAGCTGAGCTGATGGATCAAAGCTGGGTTGATCCTCAACTGCTCTGTAGCCAAAAGGCAGCATCTGTTAGAGGCAAAGCTCGACTATTTGGTTGTTGGTCTTAGCTTCCAATGGATTAGATGAGCAAACACCAGTTTTCTTTCGTGTCTTTAGGAGCAGCCTTGACATTGACAAATATGTTGTGCTCATGTGCAGTGATCAGAGCAGGTTAAGTTACTGGCCTTGAGAATCTTCTTCAGTTCTAGCTTTCTCCGGCTCTGACATAGAAATCTTCTGGCATTTTTCTCAGGTCTTCTTTGAGGGAAGGGCTTGACACAACCACATATGGGGCTTTCATGGATGGAGAGCCTAGCCATGAGAAGATTTCACTGAGAACATTGGTATGCTGTTCCTACGTTTTATTTCTTTATTTATTTTATGCTGCTCCCATGTTGTGGATTGTAGATAATAATTCATCTCTATGTACCACAATTTTGCAATTTACTCACAAAACTTAGGTGAGTGACTGAATGTGACCCTCAATGGCTTAACTTGAGTTATTGCCAATTCATGGCCACTCATGTTCATAATATCTCCTACACGATTGAAGTATCTGATTGTCTGAGCTGAAAGTTTGGCTTCATTGCAGGTTGATCATTCAATCATTGAGAGCTTTGATGGGGAAGGGAGAAGTTGCATCACTGCCAGGGTCTATCCAAAGTTTTCCATTGGTAGTGAAGAAGAGCTTTATGCATTTAACAATGGCACTCTGGATGTCACCATCTCAAAGCTAAATGCTTAGAGCATGAAGAAAGCTCATCTGGTTTCTGCCAATATAAGTAGGAAGCCACCAATTTTATTGAAGCAAAAACAAACAGATGCAGCCAAAGCATTGTCTTGGCAATTGCCTGAATAAAGAAATTCCCCTTCTTACATTACTAAATAAAGAACTTGCCTTATACTTGTGAATCGTATTTCAAACAAATCATGTTTTGATGCAGCCTCAGACTTTCCTGTGTACTTTTAGTTGATACCAATTCTGGTAAAACTCTTTTGGCAAAAGAAGCCACAGTTTGATAGAAGTTGACAGTTGAAGAATGAAGAGAGCGGTCCAGGTTTTGAAGCAGAATGGTTTTTGATAACCGATAAGGGGGGAAGTTAGAAATGGAAGGGACACAAATTAAGGAATTGAATTTGATAATGATATAAGTCTTGTTTGGCTGACTTCGTCCAAAAAAATAAAAGTCCTGCTTGGCTGATGAGAAAATGTGGGAAAATTGCAGAAGAAAGAGATGAATAGAGGGAAGAAGGAGAGGGAGGATGAAGTGCTTTTTTTTTTTGAACAAGTATAAATGTAGGGAGGAAATTTGAACCAAGTACCAAAGGCTGGGGAGCAGTTTTTGCAGAGGCTAGTGTTTTCTGTTATTTGATATTCATGTGAAAGTTGACTCATTTGTCATTGCCTTTCCGGAAACCATTGAACCCATACTTTGAGACTGATAAACAGAAACTGCGGTTATTTGGATAAAGCCCTTTAACTCTAACCTCTTCAAAAATATCTCAAGTTAAAAAGAAAGTCAAAGGTTAGAAAGAGTGGCACTTCTAACAAGGAATTATTTTATTTCTTTGTCTTTGGATTTGTGAAAATGATATATTTTTTTAACATCTTATTTTATAATTTTGATGATATTAAATGGTAAAATAAAAATTATTAAATAAATATAGAGAGTTGTTAATGCGATAAGTTACTTTTTATCTGATAATTTAATTTAAATTATTTTGTCTAAAAATACTGTACTGCAAAAATAACAGGCATTGGAGAATTAGAAGCATTGAGAAGATTAGGGGGGAAAGTGTTGGAGACAAACAATTATCAAAGCTTCTGCCTTTGCCATCATGAGAGAACAGAGTATATAACTTTCAACGATATGATTCCATTGAAACGTACCCATCAATCTTTACCCGCTGTTTCTTTTTTAGGGGGCGGAAAGGGGTTTGGTTTTCTTGTGTGCAAGGCTATGCGTAGGCTTTAGAGAAAGGGATAGCAGCGGTTTGGGTAGGAGTTAGAGAATGACCAAGGAAGACGATTTTGACCCCCCAGAAAACAGGGGGTGGTCAAGGTCACCGGGGCCGGAGAAATGGGCGGTTAGCTTCCGCCGGGATCTGTTGGCCGGAGCGGTGATGGGCGGTGTGGTGCACACGATCGTGGCCCCAATTGAGAGGACCAAGTTATTGCTGCAGACCCAAGAGAGCAATCTCGCCATTGTGGGAGGTGGGCATCGGAGATTCAAGGGTATGCTGGATTGCATCGTCCGTACGGCCAGAGAGGAAGGCTTTCGTTCCCTATGGAGAGGCAATGGCAGCAGCGTCCTCAGATATTACCCCGCTGTTGCTCTTAATTTCTCCCTCAAGGTAACAAGATAACAAGAACCCTTTTAATTTTAATTTTTTTAAAGCAGTTTCAGATTGAATTAATTTGTTTACATGACTGTTTTCGGTTTTGGGATAATAACTGGATAGTGGATATTGGTTTGTTGGGAGTTTAGGGTTTTGGGAGGCATAGATTATGCATATGAAGTGAATGCCAAAACTAGCCATGGATATGTATTAAAGTAGCTAGCATTCTAAGATAATGTCATGGAAAATTTTGCCTACACTTTCACTTGGAGGTGTCTAGTTTGCTTCTGTCACAAGAATTCACTAAATCTTTGCACCCGTAGTACCTGCTATAAAGTTAGCCACACAAAGAAAAGAAAGAAAAGAAAGAGAGAAAATCATGTAGTTTTAAATATACTGAGAACTCATACCAGAGGATTAGAGTCATTATATAGAGAGTCATCTTCATGCAATCTTGTGAAATATGGGCAAGAAAATTTGGGTCATCCAACACAAGGGGGGTTTATTAGAGTATGTTGACTACTCTTAGTATGGTGATTCATAGTTAAGGAGTATCTGATGGAAGTTTTGGAGAAGCTTGGTATTGTCATTTCCATTGCTTTAGACAAAAGGCATGTTGTTTATGATTGAAGTGGATGCTGAATTAAGTTGGAACTAATTTCCTTGTAAGTGACATGAATTTTTCACTGTGAAGTTCCCACTGGCACTGTGGTAATGATGTCTTTTCCTAAGAAGATTTTGTGCCAACGTGGAAGTCCTCAGTGAAGATTTTTTCTTTTCTTTTCCTTGTCTGTGTGCGTGCACGCATGTGTGATAGGCAGCTATCCCTCATATAAATAGTGAGAATTGGATTAGAAGGAAGAATATTCAGACTAATTTGCATCATTAGTGTAAAATCACGAGAAACAGTTGGTCAGCTTCTCTAGCTTTGCCCCTTACTGAAAGTTTTGGAATTTGTTTCTCCTTTCTTGGGTCCAGTCACCAGTTATTGTGATGCCATCATTTGCATTTTTGACTTTGAAGGAGTTAGGATAAAGGAAATGCTTTGTGTGTGACGGCATCCATAGAATAAGTTTATGTCATGAACTTGATAAATGACAAGTTATAGTGATGGAGTTAAATTAGGATGCACCATTGAGTAGAGGAAGCAAGTCCAGTTAACAAATAATGATGATTAATACTTCTCTTTTTTTTATTTTCTTTGTTTTTTTCTGAAAAGCAAATGATGATTAATACAATAGGTTTTTTGTTTCTAACTAAACCGGGAAGTAAGAAATTCATTGCACTTAAATGCCTGTTAAATGGAGGTGAAAACCTAAAGTTACAACATCACTATTCTATCATTCTTTTTGTCACTGTTTGATAAGTGTTCAGAGGCGTATTTATCATTTACTTCTATCCTTATGCAGGATCTTTACAGAAACATATTAAGAAGTGGGAACTCTCAAAATGGTCGTATGTTTTCTGGAGCATCTGCCAACTTTATAGCTGGAGCTGCTGCTGGTTGTACATCATTGATCTTAATCTACCCACTGGACATAGCACACACCCGCCTTGCTGCCGACATTGGAAGAACGGAGGTTCGTCAATTCCGAGGTATCTACCATTTCCTAACAACCATACTCAATAAAGATGGAATTCGAGGAATTTACAGAGGCCTTCCCGCTTCCCTACAAGGAATGGTAGTTCACCGTGGCCTATACTTTGGAGGGTTCGACACAATAAAGGAGATTTTATCAAAAGAATCTAATTCTGAGCTGGCATTGTGGAAACGCGGGGTGGTGGCCCAAGCAGTCACAACGTCTGCCGGATTGTTGTCATATCCACTGGATACAGTTCGGAGGCGGATGATGATGCAATCCGGTTTGGAACAACCAATGTATGTAAGCACACTAGACTGCTGGAAGACGATTTACAGGACAGAGGGGGTCGCTTCGTTTTATCGTGGAGCACTATCAAACATGTTTAGAAGCACTGGTTCTGCAGCCATCTTGGTATTGTATGACGAGGTCAAGAAGTTCATGAACTGGGGAGGATTATAGCAAACAATTCAAATTTTTGTCTAATACATTCCTTTCTTTTAACCCACAAGTTAGAGTAGAATGTGATTATTCACGTCAGAAAAATTGCTTCACACAAATGAATATTGTACCCTCAATATGTAGCTTGTCATAGGGAAGACATTCACTCGACAAACTCGTGTTATTGATTTTTCTTAGCAAATAAGGGGAGAGGATTACTTTGATGCCTTTTTTTTTGTAGTGTCTATTTGTTCTTTTTCTCCTGTTCATATCGTTGTCGAAAACGATCATCTTCACTTTACTCAAAAGCAGGGGAAGATCCAAATTTGTGACAAAAGGAGAAGCTAACGTAGTTGGTGGGGTGGATTGATATCTCTTCTCCAATATGCAGAACATATGCTGTTTTGTGATGAGAATATACTGATCAAAGACCATTTCTATAACATTTCATCTGCTTTTCCGACCTGATGTAAGCTGGGATTTCGTGGAGCATTTTCCTGGGATGGCATTTAGCTATTGGCCAGGGAAAATCTGTGGTAAGGCCCTTCAGTGGAGTGGATTTGAACCACACCATAAACAGTGGGCTTGAATTAATTATTAAACCAAAACCTGGGGCCTCCTAACTCTTGACGAATGAAATTTGCACAATATAAAAGTGGAGCCTCATAATGAAGCCGAAGCCAGTAGCCGGATGCACAAGGAGTAGTGTTTTGTTGACTATGTCTAACATTCGATTTTTTTTTTTTTTTAAGAAATTAATGAAGATGTAATTTTGTTTTCTAAATAATTTGTTTTTAATCAAATTAGAAAAATATTTTTCTCATAATCGGATAAGTTAGCTCAAAACCAGCCTTATAATTAAACAAAGT